TTTTGTTCAGTAAATAACATAAAAAGTGCTTTAAAGAGTTAGCTGTAGCTTAGAAAAACATTCTGAGTAATTTGATACCTTATGTCAGTTGGCAGTCATTAACTCAGCTGGGCAAAATTCATGAAGTGCTTTAGGGTCCACAGTGTTCCTGAAAAGCACTTGTTAAATGGAAACTCAACTCTTCAGTCTGGACAGTGAATGTCTCATCAGTGAGGAAGGATTATTCAGACCTGAGGAAAGCTGATCAAATATTAATCTCTGTCTTTTATGTCCTAAATACTTTTATGTCCTCTGTCTTTTTCTACAAAGATATACATTTACACAAAAATGCAAAAAGAAAGAACCTCTCTTAGAACATAACCTTTATTAGAAGGCCAGTGGTCTTTGAATTTATCTTTTGACTGATGCTGTTACATTTTTGTTCCACAGTTCTAGAATGAAAGTGTTCCCACTGCTGAGTTTGTGAAACAGTTAAAAAACACACTATACTCATTAAGAGCCAACCGTACCGTGCCAGTGCTCACTGGGATTCAGGCACTCTGCCTGTTGTACTGGCCTTCCCCTCATGTCTGCCTGGCCTCCAACCAACTGGTGAAAAGCTGTCTCAGAATGGGGAGAGAGTTCTTCGGGCTTTGAGGGATTGAGGAGGGAGTGGGGTTGATTTAGCAATGAGGCCTCTCTGGGGAGGAGAGGCAGCATCAAAAAGGCAGCCGTGTCCATGTCCCATCTGATCTCAGCAGGCCTGCCCTTGTCTGGTCTTGATCTCATCAGGGATCACTGAGCTCTGTGACTGGTCATCCTTTACTGCAGCCCCCTGCCCAGTAACTGGAGCTGACTCAGACTCTTTTTTCAAGAGTTCACACAGAATTTTATTTTGCCAAAGAGGCAAAATAAGACTTCCTGGTGACCAAACAGTTTTTTCGGTTTGTTTCTTCTTGTTTGTGTTACTTTAACCCTTGGAGTTCCAGTCTTAAGCGAGACCTGAAGGCTGGAACTAGCAGTACCTGAACAGAGTGGGCAGAACATGCTCTTCATTGTCACTTGATCTTATTTTTACCCTTGGTGTGCAGACCTTTGTGCTTGTTTTGCTGAATTTCCTTCTCTTTCCAGACATGTTTTTTTAGATGAAGGCCCTCTTGATTTGTGTTTAGGAATCTTTAAGAATTTTTTCTATTAAAAAAGCTTTATGGTTATATATAATAAATCAAAAGATCGGCGTATTCTGATTCTTGACAGAATCATATTGCCGAACTCAAAATGATTTCACAAAAACATTCCAAAATAATTTCCATTTTATGTCTGAAGTTAGTCCGCTGCTAACACAATTCCAGTCAAGCAGCTGTGTCTTAGACTTTCACAGATTTCTCTATCCGGATGTTCAGCAGGGCACGGCACCACATTGGCCCAAAATCAGGATTTATCATCCCCTTTTGCCTTCCATACATTACTTTCTTCAACCCTGTGTTTAGGTTACTCCTGTTCAGTGTGCAGTGTGTGGAGTCTTTTATAACGAGATTTAAGAAGAATGATAGTGGGTCAGTGCAGACCAAAGCCACTGTCATCTGTTTATTTCAAGGTTCTGTTCTTTTTCCTCTAAGAATGTAAGAAAATAAAGCAACTGAGTGTGATACATGGCCACAAATTACTTGCAGCTAGGGAGGGGTTTAAAATGTCATTCCAGGTTAAAGTAACTCTTGGTGATAACTGGCCTCAAGGATCCTGCTATAGTTTCCAGAAGAGCCTGCTTTAAAAAAGTGAAAAAAGAGAAACCAAATGTCCTGAAAAATTAATTGAATTGCAGAATAATTGCTATTCTTGGTAAGCAGCATACAGTATCTTCTTATTTCTGCTGGAAATACTAGGCTTGGAATAAAGAGAAACAGAGTCCAAGGACAAAGTGGGTGGAGAGAAATGAGCATGGCAAGAAGAGGAGAGAGAAAACATTGCAAATTATTTTATAAATAGGACAAATACACTGAAAAATTAATGAGGAGATTCTAACACATTTTTACCTTGATGTTCCCTTCTTCCTGAAGCTCAGTTTCTGACTAGGTTTGATCAGGTTTGTGTCGCAAAAAAATGATCTGTGGCTGAACCCCATGTGGGTCTAAGAAAATGAACCCGGCTCTCTAAACGACCTCTGAGCCAGTTCAAATTAAACAGCGAGCAGCTGCACTGCAAATGCATGTAGCAAGAAAGACATGCAACTCTGTCAGCAGCTGTATGAAAAAAAAATCACTTCACTAGTTTGTGGCTTAGGATAGTTATTTTGACCGTGGAACGTGTTCTAAAATTAAATTAGTGTTTTGTTGTCAAGAGTTGCTGGTATACTGAGTCAGCATATTCTGAGTCCTTCCCCTGTTCGTATATGGAAACCCATGAACCTTGTTCAGCCTGTCCGTTTCTGTGGTGCATTTCTCTTTATGTGTTTAATATCTGACAGTGCTGTAGATGGGACGTTTTCAGCTGTGCTTCCTGTGAGTCCTGCTGGTCCTCATCCCCCTAGAGCTCCTGTTTTCTTAACCCAGCTCTAAATTGACGTTGCTTAATGACCCCTTTCATGAATTTTGCCAAAAAGTCAGAGAACTTGAATTCATATATTTACTAGTTATCGCTGTCATGGATACACTGCTACACTTAAAATCTCGTTGTTTTCTTTTCTTCCAGTTTAGCTCTAGCTATCGTTTCCAGAACTTTCCAGTAACAGGTGTAACACTGATTATATTCTTTAATCATGCCTATCTAGCCTGTTTATATCTGCCTTATAATTTATATTGTGGGTACTGGTCCCTGACTAAGAGAGACTGAAATATCCTTCCTTTGAATAACACCCCTCATTCCTTAAATACACCTGGGAAAATCCTGGATGATTTACTGGTTGTAAACTACAGTATGCTACTCCTAGTTCAACCTCAGTGTCAATTATGCTGAAACTGCCTAATAATAGGTACCGTGGTTCTCTTCTTGCATGTTTTTATTCTGAGGTCTGAGTGCCTTCATTAGGTCAATGAGCTGTTAAGATAGGAGGCATTAACATGCTTTTTAGATCTCTGCTCTTTCAACATTAAAGGTTTTAAAAACTGCTGGACCATAAGAAACGGTTACAAATAAGAAGAGGACTTTTGTTCCATCTAGGTCATTTAGTAGCTAGTAGATACTTTATCAATTTTTATGTTATGTTATGTTTTTGAAGAATGGGTGTCCTTCTAATGAGTCTGAACTCATCAGTTAACAGTACACCAATGTACACTCTGGCTCATTGCTTCCTAATTATTGTTCTCTCTTATTTGGAAAGTTGGTTTTCTGAATTAAAAGAATTTGAAACATGGTGGAACATTCTGGTCGTAACAAGTTGCACACCAAATTTTGGTGTCATTTTTTATCTCTGACTTGCCTCTAAACAGTACTTCAACCCACGGAAAGACCTGATGAAATTTCACTGTGAAAAAAATTGCAAATATGCAGTAAATCAGACAAGGAGCAAATACTTTTTCCAAGGCACTATATACGTAATAACTAGGGAAAGAAAATCAAAATTTGTAAGTTCTTTCACAAAAAGTGGCCTTATCCCATGAGCTCTGAGGTCCCACGAGGTCACATGCATAATTTTCAAACTCCTTGAAGAGAGCACATATGGTCATGGTTATATACTGTACATGTGTACAAATGAGATCATTTGTGATGGAGTTAAAATTTGTATGTGTTTAAATTGCTAATATGATAAAAATAGAAAATAAATGCAACTATTTTACTTATAATTCAAATAATGCAACTTTGAACAGATTTATAATTTATGATTTGTTTTTATACTGTATTTGAGAACGTCTGGAACCTTAGGGAGAAATGTGGCATGATTTTTTGAAAATTTATAAATCAGCTTTAAATTAATTGGGAAGGTCCTGAAATGGAAAAATTGCATGGGTAGTGTAATTATGTGGCAGTTACAGGAAGTGTTTACACTGATAATAGAAATGTTACGCAGTGTAAGTGGCTGATTTCACAGCTGGTTTGAATTTTACAGGGTGAGTTATAAAGCTTAGGCTCCCATTCACAGTAATCCTGTTCACCCAGCTGTCAGTGCGTAAACTGAGCAGGCAAAATCCTACTCACAAAGTTGGTCTTAAGAGGTTTCCTAATGGGAGCTTTATGAGGTGGTTGTTCAATGTTACATCACTCTGTTTGTGAAACACTGACACTGGTCAAGTCGAATAATAATTATATTCATAAAACATCAGCATTTTGAATCAGTGATTCTTGGGAAGACACAATACCCCCCACGATCTGACAAGGCAGCAAAGGGATCTCTTCACACATCTTTGTTTTTGTTGTTTTGAGATATATTGTATAAGTGAAACAAAGCATTTTAAATTCAATCTCTAGCTACGTCACTTTCTTGAGGAATGTCCAGCATTTTTAAATAAGCGTTTTTAGATTACCGATGTCTTAGTCTAAATCCAGACCTGGGGTTCTATCTGCATAGAGATTGTGAGTGAGTGTTTCCCATGTTTCTTCCAGCTGCTCTAGTTTCCTCCCACAGTCCAAAAACATACTGGCAGGCTAATTCGCTTCTGGGAAAACTGGCCCTGATATGGGTGCTTGTGCGTTTGTGCGTCTGTCTATGTCTCACCCAGGGTGTACCCAGCCTTGCATCTGTTGCTTGCCAGAATAGGCTGCGGCTTCCTCACGACCCTGAACTGCACTGCATGAAGCAGTTAAGAAAATGGATGGGTGGATAATGACAAACATGACTGAACAATAATCAGGAAGCTAAGACTTATCTTTGTTATAGTATAAAGCAATATTAATGAGTGAGATCTCACAGTGCGATTTTTCTGTGGAATAGGAGAGCAGTTAACTATAAAGAAGGGAAAGAAGGGAAAGGCCAAAGGGAGAAGATGAATGAATATATTGTCCCACCCGTTGCTCTCTCCAGCGAAAGATCATTTGAGTCTGGGGGCTCATAATGGCTCTCTGCCCCTTCTCTTTTCTCCTCTTTGCAGCCAAGGTGAAGTCCAAGTGTGCGCCCACCTTCTTCGCCTGTGCCAATGGGGTGCACTGCATTATCGGACGTTTCCGCTGCAATGGGTTTGATGACTGTCCGGATGGCAGCGACGAGGAGAACTGCAGTGAGTGTTCTTGGGTGGAGCCCGTTTGTTGAACTAAGAAATGCTCCAATTGCCGCCATTACTCTCTGCCATGGATAGGGGGGGATATCAGGGACCTTGCTATCCAGAAGGAGACCCTAAATGTCTCCATCTCTATCCCTTAATAAAAAATTTCAGTTACTGAATTCTATATTTCTGTGTATAACTCTCTAAATCATTAACCGTTTATGACAGTCCCCACTCTACATCAACATTCCCAGTGTAACTTTCTCAGTCTCAGTCTTTCTCCTAATGTTCCTGATGCCTGTGCCCAGTCGCCCTACATACCCACTGTCTTAATCCAAAAGTCACTTAATCGTTTTTTTCAAATGTGTGATAACCCATGGTAGCATCAACCAGTTCATACAATAGCATTGATGCTACCATGCATTAGATTATGCATTTCTTTTTTCTTCCAAGAAATAGATCACATTGGGGGAAACGGACTATTAACCTTTTGGAACAACTCCTCTTTTCAATCTTGCAGCAGCAAACCCACTTCTGTGCTCCACAGCACGGTTCCACTGCAGGAACGGGCGCTGTGTGGATCGTAGCTTCCTGTGCAATGGTCAGGACAACTGTCAGGACAACAGCGATGAGGAGCACTGCGAGAACACCTCAGGTGAGACCTGCTCACACACTGCCGTCGCGCTCAGGCTGAAACAAAGACACGGACTCTCAGCTGAAACTGGGAAGGCAAAGAGCTGTGGGTTTCAGGAACAGGCTGCCCAGCCAGTTGAAGGTTGAGGATCAAACTGCAGGCAAGAACTGTCAAGACAGACCTTTAGAGTCAATTAGCTACTAAACTAACACTTGATCAAGGTGGACCAAATGGCCTAAAAAAAAGTTTATTTCAAGCATTGTTTAAAATACTTTTATATTGGATGTTAAAGTTTGGCAATGGTAATTAGGGACAAATTATTTGTGTTAACATTTTTAATCTAATCACAGTACTGTATCTGGTAAAAGGACTTTCTTGGAAACTGACAGGATGGCTCAGAAGCCTTCGGGAGCTTCGAACAGACCAGCATCTTAAGCCTCCCAGCTGTCAAAAAGGAATTAAATTAAAATTCAGTATTTCACAAAGGTTTGAGAAACTAGCACTGTTTCTATTCAGTAGAAAGGAGGGTACAGATCATATTAAAAACCCTGTTAACTTACCCAAGACTACCTTGCCTGCTTATCCAATAGTGTAACATTCTCAGGTAAATAGGTCTGATCTATTAGATAGGTCTGATGGACTGTCAAGTCCATTTTATTTGTTTAATTTTCTTTCAACAACTGGAGAATTTCATATATAAAGCACAGCTATTAATAATGTATTCATTATAATATACTATATATGGATGATATGAATATGAAGGATCAGCTGCTCAATGTTTTGTCTTTTATCCAAATAAAAAAGCAGGAAAGCTTTGAGGCAGTACTGTGAGGTTCCAAGCCTAAAAATAAAAGTTAGAACTCATTTTATGAAGTGAAAATCTTCAGTGACCTTGCTGTCACACAAGAGATGAAAGCTCCTGATTCAGGGAATCATTTTTAACTAACAGAAACATATTTTATCATTTGTTTTTCAACCACTGTGAGCTTGTATGGTCTAGTAGAAAACAGCAATTTTGTAAACACGGGGAAGATTTATGTAATACTGATTTTACATCATGATCAGATTGCTCAATAAATGAGCAGTACATTCCTGTCGTATGTAATACCTGCCTGATAAGGCACTCCAATATGGCTGTTCTAGGATATCAGCCCCAGTCAACCCTATGCTGTTTGAAAAGACATTGCTGCTGAAGAGATACCAAAAAGAAAAGTGACCAAATCTTGGTCTGAAAAATATGTCTGGCATCGGTGTAGTTAATCTTGAAATTTGGATTCTTTTCAGGTATTATTAAAAATTCTGAAAGTCACTGAGAGTCAACAAAAATACCTACTTTCAAGGGTAGACAGCTAAAGAAAGAAATGAAGTCCAGGTGCATTGAGGAGAAAAAACAGGAAATATTTCTTCAAACAAGAAGTTTTGTTTGATACACAAGGTGTTTGATACAGACTGCCCTGCCATGCTGTTACAGGTAACACTCTGGGATGCTCTGAGAAAATGTTTGGTGAGATTCTTAAATGAATGATTTGCAAGCATTTTCACCCAAGTATTTTTATTAAGATTTTTCCTGTTTCAGTAATACCCACTTGTAACTTGTACGTTCCTGATATCTGAATTCTAAGATGTTTATCCATTTGTTAGTAATATCAGTTTTGCCTGTGCCACCTACTAATTGTCTTCCGATGTGTCTCAATGGCAGCATAAGGTACAGTATGTAAGCCCTGCGCTGGTAGATACCACACAGCCCATCATGCAACTGCAGTGCCACTTTGAATCATAGTCACTATCAATGTGAATGAGTTCCATCTCCAAAGCCAATCTTTCAGAGCCAGGGCAGCAGAGCACTGCCAGAGTAGGACATCTGGAAGCTTACAGAGAGTTTATATGAGTGGCAAGTGAATTTTTACACTATTTTGTGTATAAAGGAAATGAGGCATATCAAACAATAATATTTCACAATCTACAAGTGCTTGGGGACTATATTACATATTCTGGTGTTTGCAGTTCTTCAGCTTTTGAACCAATTGGTTGAGCCAGTTAAAGTTGTGAGCTGTGGTTACATAATGGAACAGGATTTATAAACCATTTCTCTGTTAGGAAACTGTATTCAAACCTTATTTATTCATAAAAGAAGCTGATGGCTATGAACATACTTTCAATGGACTGTTGTCCAAAATAACAGACCACGAAACATTTCATAATAAATAAAATACAGAATTATATTTAAATAAAAGAATTGACAGAGTCTTCTGTAAGCTCATGCACAGAGCAAGAAGGCTTAGGCCTCATTTTGAAAAGCAATGGAGTTTTAAGGCAACGCTTCTTTTTTCACAAGGATTAAGCTTAAAACAGCAGCATATTTTCAGTGTTTCACGCTCATAAATTGCACGACAGAAAATCCATCGGAGATTGCAGATGTTATCTCATTAAATTTGACTTGTGCTTCTGGAATGCCTAGAACTCAAAGAATCGATTTGAACATGCACCCTTCAGTTTCACTGTGTTTGAAGTGTGTGTGGCAATGCAGAAGGTTAATCAGAAGCAGATCGAAAATGTTATTTATACATACACTCTTTCAATCTGTGCAGCTCTAACTGCCATGTAGCTGCTGGCAGTGCCTGAGAACATTAGCCTTTGGTTTGTGTTCCAAATGCTACTCTCTTGAGAGCAGGCCAACTCTTTGAGCTCTGTGATGTCCCTATAGATCTAACCCACACTGTAGCCATGGAGACTGTGGTCAAATGGTATCCTGCTGTTAACAACTTCAAAGAAATTCCTCTCTGGACAAAAGGCCTACTGTTTTGAGTTCCCTGTGCAGTTTTGCCACATTAAGAACCTCACTAGAGAAGGAACCACTGGACAGAAAACAAAATGTAACAATTTTCTAAAAATCTCATTTAAATCTAATTTTAAAGGATTCTCCAAATATAGGAGATTGGAATCTCACTTTTGTGGTATACAATAGCACCCAGATATGCTTTTGTCTGTGCTTCTGACTAGAAGTGTAAAATCCAAAAATTAATTACCATAGTAGGAATGAAATTTCTTGGATTATCTTTGTTGGAAAAATACAGCCTGCACATAGTACAGTACAGTAGCTACCCTGGAAGAATAGAGATGTCATAAATGAATGAACAGATGCTCTTTTCTGAATAAACTGCAGCTAAGCTCTCTCCTTGGTAAAACCAAAGGACTAATAACACAGAGGAGAACAAGTATTGTCAGGTAAACGGCTGTCACTTTTAAACATCCCAGAAATTTAATTTGAGCACAGCTTCAGAGGAACAGGAGGGGAAGCGAGAGAGATTGGAACGAGACAGTCTCCCAGGACTGCCAGAGGAATTGCAGGCTTGATAAGGGAAAGTAATTGGAAGTTGGCTACAGAGATCTGAGGACCATGTACAGTACACATTGGAGGAAGTGCCAGTGCCACTGAAAATAAATGTAGGACATGTTTAGGAAGAGGAAGAGAAAGGAAAGCAGAGGAAGAAATATTGATGGGTGATCCCTGCCCTGTTATCTGCCTGGGGCATTTATTCAATAATCACTATTCTTTTAGTCATTGGTCTAAAAAAGCCCTTGGTCTTTGTCATTCCATAAAGAGCAAATCAAACTATGGATCAATCAGAAACTTTCAGCACATGTACCATCCAAGACTCAAACTGTGTTCACCTGCCAGGACTGAAAACAAGAAACCTAACTGGTGTTTATGTGATGTATATGCAATACAACACTGGATAGTAATCCTTACTTCATTTTGCAATTAATAAAGTAAATTTACTTTAAAGCAAGTAGTAAAGAAAGTTTACTGATTTCGTCCCTATTCCTCAGGTTGATTATGTCTGTGGATATACTAATATTAATTTCCTTTAAAAAGGTTAATGAATAGTTATCTGTGCTTTCCTGTGTTGGGGTTGGGAAATAAGAGAGTCCATGATGACCACTGGCAGCCAGGAAGGCACCAGAAGATTGGAAGGACAATTGGTTTTTGTAGTCCAAACAATATTTCAAATATGTAAAAAAATAAAAGAAAAAACTTACACTGATATAGGAATTAACAGTACTTTGGGGGAAACAGTTTAAACAGTATGCTGTTCTGGGCTTTTATCTTATCTTACAATTGTCTTTTTCCCTCTGTGCTGCTGCATCTGTACACCAGACTTCCTCTCCACTGAAGCCAGGGACCCAGCTTACTGGGTAGCTGCTTACTTATTCTCTCTAAGCAACTGTTTTTGTCCATATAGCTGTGTGGACATTAGAATAGAATTGTTTCTTTATACAAGGTGTATTTCAGACAAGATGGCCTTGTCTAGACCACATTTGCCACAGAGCTGCTTCTGGGTTCACCCCTCTTAACTGGTCAGGCGGCTGAACTGCTGCCCTGAGCTACCGGATCAGTTGTAAGAAGTCAATTGGTCAGGTGATCGTTTAAAACAGGACGTGGAGGCTTTCTGGGTCAGTCAGTTCGTGATATGTGCTGTCTGGGTGACAGAAAGCAGTCCGACCGTGGAATTGTGGACCCGACAAATGTGTGAGTTTTGTGAAATTGAAACTGTGAGTTTTGAGTATAATGGATTTTGAAAAAGGGAAAGACTTCTATTCTTAGGAGAGTATTCTGTGAAGACTCTCAGGAAGAGATTTGTGGTGAAGAGTCGTTTCGTTTTGAGGCTGGTAAACGGCTTAGCCCTGCAGCATTATAGTTGGGTACTTGAAGAAATCTAGTCAGGAGCTCGAGAAGGAGTTAGGCTTTTGTTTGGTGTATTTTTAGGTTTCCCTCGTCATAAATAAAAGAGCACTGTTTTTTTTAACCTCACGGCAGTATGTGTGGTCTGTTGTGCTGGATCTGCCTATTTAATAGATCCCATTACGCATGCCCAGGGGTGTGTCACAAAGGGTGACGGTTTTAATCAATCTGATCTTGGGATCCAACACATTACACATAGCAAAACAAATCACTAATCGTCTAATAATGGCGTGAAAGTGAAGATAATTCCATCTCGGTGTGTTTAGAGGCAGATGTG